AAAAAAGATTTCAAGGCAACTAGCATAATGAGAGACAAGAATGGTCACTACATAATGATTAAAGCAGGCGTCCTCAAACTACAGCCCACGGCCACATGTGGCGCGCAGAGGACGGCTATCCAGCCCGCCACGTGATTTTGCCCTGTTTGTTTTTTACTTCAAACTAAGATATGTGCAGTGTGCATAAGAATTTGTTCATAGTTTTTTTTTTTAACTATAGTCTGGCCCTCCAACGGGTCTGAGGGACAGTGAACTGGCCCCCTGTTTAAAAAGTTTGAGGACCCCTGGATTAAAGGAACAATCGCTAGAGAAGACATAACCATGAGAAACGGATATGCACCCAAGAAAGACTCTCAAAATACATTCATCAAATCCTTCTGGGATTGAAGCGGAAAATAAACAGCTCAACAATTATAACGGGAGATTTCAATATATCACTCACAAGGACAGACAGATCATCAGGAAAGAAACTCAATAAAGACCCTAAAGACCTAAACAACACAATCAACTAGACTTCCTAGACATATACAGAACACTCCACCCAACAATAAAACAGTAGATGAGGGGTTACCTGAAAAAACAAACCAGAATTGTGCTGGGCAGAGCAGAGTTTTCAAAAAACTCTTTATTCCCACTAGGCGAGCATCAAGCAACTTAACTCTGAGTTAGTGCACCCAGTAGTGTCACCTGAGATGGTTCTCTTTGCTCACACTGAATTTTTTTGTAAAAGCAGTTTTGCTTGAACCGAGTTTTTTGTGATGGCTGATTTTGTTTCCTGCTTGTGGGGATGGGGTGGGAAATGGTGTGGGAAAAACTCAAGTGTGGGAAAAACTCAAGTGTACAGTGGTTTCCTCGTTTCGAAAGAGGTGAAATGTTGATTGCCGACAAACCTTGTTCTGGACATCCATCAACTTCCTAGATGGACAAAAATGCCAACTTGCAGTGCATTTGGAGTTGTTCCACCAGGTCAGACTGTTAATCAAGCTTTCTATTTAGAGCTTCTGAAAAGATTACATAACAGTGTGCAATCAAAACGCCCTGATTTGTGGCAGATGGGGGACTGGTTTTGCCAAGACAACAATACACCTGCTCACACAGCTATCTCAGTGTGCCAGTTTTTGGCAAAACACAGCATGCCTCTCTTGCTCCCCACATCTTACTCACTTGACCTCTCTCTGTGTGACTTCTTTTTGCTTCCCTGAATGCAGGGGGACATGAAAGGACAGTGATTTAATGACTTAGAAGAAGTGAAGAAAAAATGAGGGAGGTGCTGTCAGCCATCCAAACAGATGAGTTTGAAAAACGTTTCCAAGAATAGAATCACAGACTTGACAAATGTATTAAGTGTAAGGGAGAGTACTTTGAAGGTGATAAGGTTGTTTTGCAAAAAAATCTAAATATATAACTTTGAAAACAAATTCCGTTTTTTGGGGGTGGTGGCGTACCCCCTCATATGCTCCTCTCCAATGCACATGGAACATCATCAAGAGAAACCCTGCTGATTGAACCAGTCATAACACTAATAATGATCCCCGTGACTGTTTCTTGGGCACTTTCTATGAACTCAGAACAAGACTGGAGCTTCCACAGGGTGAGAGTGCATTCTTGGCTGATTCTACTGAGCCACAGACAGCGCCCTGGACCCCACTGGGAGAATGGGAGACCTGTGAGTCACTGTGGTGGGGGCAGGGCAAAACTGGTCAGCAGTCTGAGTTAGGGGTGTGAGGTCAGCAGTTTACAGAATGTTACAGGCTCTATGAGCAGTGACAGGCTTCAGCATCTCCTCACTTCTAGATGAACCCAGAGGCAGCTTCCCTGGCCTGGGCCTGGGCATAGGTACACCAACAATCCAGTTGCTGAATTCAATACAGCATATCAAATGGCATTTGAATTTCTAATAAACAATGAATATTTTTTGGGGGGTCTATGTCTAAAATACTGCATAGGACGTACTTCTTAATAAAAATAAAAACTTGTTGTTTATTGGGAATTCAAACGCAAACGGGCATCGTGTGTTTCCATTGGTTAAGACTGACCACCCTGTGCCCAGGGGAAGCTTAGTGGGCAGGGGCCAATGGAAGCCCCTTTCCAGGGGCCTGGAGTGGAAGAGGCTCATGGAAGATGGGAATGGTGCTGCTTACATGGGAGCGGGTTCCTTCTCAAAGGTAGGGCTTGGCATAGATACCTCTTGGGGCGCTGCTCAAATGTCTCCTCCCTGACGGCCCTGCCTTTCTGCCTTCATGTGTGTTGTGGGGCCATAGGCTTAATGCTGAGTTCTGAATGTGACCTTGACCTTGTGTGGAAATAGGGGTTTTGAAGAGGCTATCAGTGAGCAGGAGAGTGGGTCCTAAGTCTTTATGACTGGTACCCTTATCAAAGGGGACAGGAGACACAGGCACAGAGAGAGAGGAACAACAGGCACACAAAGCTGCATCTATAAGCCCAGGAACGCCAGGGGTGACTAGAGGCTGAGACACACAGGGAAGGGTCTTGCTACCTCCAATTCAGACAAACAGCCTCTGAAAATGAAAGAGCAAGTCCCCGTGGTTGGAGACCACTTCCTTTGTGACACTTTGTCCCAGCTGCCCTAGGCCTGGAATACACTCTCCTCTCGACTGATGTGGCTCCTGAGACATCCAGCCTCCTGCCCCTGCAGCCTCCTCTCCCAGAGCCTGCATCTACCAAAGGCCTCACAGCAGAGTGGGAAAAGCAGGCCTGCGCAGCCCGTACCCCTGGCCAGCACTGCATCGTGCGTGTTCGCTTATCACCTGCCCTCTGTGGGACAGGGACGGTTTGCTGGTCTTCTCTCCGACCCCAGGGCCGTGAACAGTGCCTGGCATGGAGTGGGTGCTCATTCAATGCTTGTTGAATGAAGGAATGACCCAGAATGAAGACAGACCCAAGACTGCCCGTTTCACAAGCCACTCTTTCGTGCTTGCTCAGGCGACTCCTGGACACAGTTGGTCCTCACTGAAAGGGTCACGTGCGGTAAGGGACTTGTGTGTGCCCTATTGGCCTCAGGATCATTTCTGTTCCAGGGACTTTCCCTTTGCCACTGGATTGCCATCCCCCAATTCTGTGACATAGGAAGGCAAGTGCTAGTTCATCTCCATTGTTCTGATGTGGAGACTGAGGTCTGAGGGCTTAAGATCCCTGCCCAAGAGCACTCAACTGGGAAGTGGTGGAGCCAGGTCTTGAACTGAGACACCCTGGTGCCAAATTGAGGTCTCTAAGCCCAGCCCATGCTCATTCGTTCACTCAGTCATTCATTCGTTCCTTCATTCGGCAGTCACTGGGTGCCAGCCCCAAGGCAGGGGAGGGCATGGAGGGCACTCATCAGGTTAGGAAGTCCTGGCCCCAAAGAGCTCTCCAGGCCAGGCACACTTTCAAGAAGCGGTGCAGTAGCCCAGATCCCCCACCTGTGGACACACAACAGCGGATACAGCCAACTGCCGGGGGGACTCTCCAGGGCTGCCCAGAGGAAGTGATATTGGAAAGTTAGTCAGGCCAAGGGAGCGGCAGGAGAGAACCTTCCAGAAAGGAGGAGCAGGAGGAGCCAAGTGTGCTGGTCCTGGTCTGCGTGGGGGTGAGGAGGGGAGTGGGAGGGAGAGGCTGGGCCCTCTGTCAAAGGTCTGGGCTGACTAGATGGCAGTGGCCCTTACCTATGTGCCAACCGTACTCCCAGGACGAGACCAGCGGGTACGGAAACTTCTCCTGAGGCTTCTGCCGGTAGCGCTCCTGGAGGTACCTGGCTCGGCCTTGGCTGTCGTAAGAGATGCCCTGGAAGAGCAGCTGCAGGGTGCTGGGACTGGCCGGCCGCATTTCCAAGCCCTTCCATCCTGTCTGGCCCACTGGGCCCTGGGTTACTCCAAGGGCCTCCCTGGCTCGGCCTCCCTTGGGTGGGGCATGCTGGTCACCCACTCCCCTGGACAACTGATTCTGGACCCCTTTTGTCTCTGGCCATCCAGTCTGCACCTTGGTGCTGTGGGGGGCTTGGGTAGCAGGTCCCGGGTGGGCTCCTGAGGCTGAGCTGGACTGGGGCTTCTTCCTGGGCACAGGGCCCTCCCTCAGGTACTTGTGGCTGTAGTTGAGCTTCCAGGCCACACGGCTGGCGGCCTCCCGTTGGATGCGCTCCTTCCAGCCGGCCTGACTTTGGGCGGTGACCAGGTCCCTCATGGTGCTGAGAGGCACAGGGAAAGATTCTGCCCCCTACTCTGCCCACCTCTGTTTGGGTTGCTGGTGCCCTGTCTCCAAGGATACATGCAGCCAATCAGAATCAGGTTGCCAAGGTCCTGACAGGGAGGAGGGGTTGGGCTGCCTGGGGGGTCACAGGCAGATGGATAAGCCAGGCTAGGAAAGGGGACACCACCCAGGGTGACAGACAGGGGACCCTATTCTGCCTCGGGGCCCAAGAGAGCCCCAGAGATAGGATGTGAGGCAGCCTTTTTTCTGATATACACCTACTGTGTGCCAGACGCCAGAAGAGTCCAAAGAGAGGCTCAGCCTCTACCTCCACAAAACGCTAGACACAGAGGATTTTGTCATGGCAACGCCTGGGTGTGCGGCTCAGACTCCTGCTAGCTGTGCGGCCTTGGGCGAGACGGGAGACCTCTGAACCTCAACGAGCTCATCTGGCCAGTGGGATGATAAGTGGGAACCAGCACTGGAAGACTGACACGAGATGAGTATATAAAGCACCCAAGATAAAGTCCAAAGTGGACGGAGTCCTCCATAGAGGTCGGCTGCTGTGCATCAGCCTTCCCCTGGCTACCAGGCACTGTACCAGGCTCTGTGTGCCTGACACCACCCCCTCTGATTACTAGGACCCTCATAGCCTCCTCCTCAGGTAAGAACACGGAGGCTTGGAGAACTGGTGGGACTGCGCAGGCAGGGAACACTCCACTAATGGCTCTGGGCTGGGAGTTTCCTGGTGTGTGCTCACTGACGCCTCACAATGACTTGCAAACCAGCTCGCTTGTGGCACTTTTCCAGGTGAGCACTGAGGCTCGGCAGCATGAAATGGTTGCACTGGGCCTTGCTCCAGGGCAAGTGTCTGAGTATTCAAGACGCCGGACTTTCCCACAGAGAGAGGCTCAGGCAGGGTGGGCAGAAGGGAACATACCAGCTGCCCTAGCAGCACTATAAAATCTGCCTCTGGGACCCTCACCTCTTCCCCCTTCCCCATCCAGGGCCCTCCAGAGGTGAGGCCAATGAGAAGTGGCCTACCCATAATGCCTCTGGTCAGTTGCTTTTCCACTCTCACAACTCTGTGTGCTTTCACTTATTCCTGCAACAAACATTGATACACATTGATTATATATAGATATATAGATATATGCACATACATACATACTTGGGAGTGGGGTGTGGTGTCTAAAGGTTAGTTTTAAGGGCCCCCAGTATATACACACACACACACACACACACACACACACACACATACTTGGGAGTGGGGAGTGGTGTCTAAAGGTTAGTTTTAAGATGGGAAGTTTCCTGGCATTTCCACACTGCACACAAGAGGGCCCTGAGGCTCAAGCTGCCAGAGGTCCATCTGTGGAGGGGTGAGAGGGACACACACCAGCCAGGCCCTCTGCGTCTGCCCGTTGCTTCCTGAGAACGTCTCACAAACCTTGGGCCTGCCAAGGTTTCCTTTGCTTAGCCAACTGCCCGTACTCAGCACCAGCTTTTGCCCCGAGAATGCCCCTGCCCAAGAAGGGAGGGCGCTGGCCACAGGGAGCAGTGTCCTGGTGCCTTGGGCTGGCCCTGGCTGAGGGAGCGATGCGGGAAGTGGCAGGCTCACAGATCCATCCCAGAGCTCTGTCTTTGGGAGATATGCAAGTGCTAAACAGGAAACCGAGCAGGCTTGTGAACTCCCCATTGTCCCCCTGCTTGTGAGGACCCTTAGGGGAGGGGGAAGTGGGTTGAGGGCCATGGGGCAGGCCGCCCTAACTTCCAGGCACAGGAGGAAAATCACGGCCAGCCTTGCCTTGAGCCCCATCTCTCCGGTGTTTCACTCCGTCTTCAAGTTACAAGAAGAAAATTGTTGTTTATAAACAAGAGGCGTTTCTGGGAGAATGTCTTCCTTAGCAGAACCCTCTGATTAATTACAAAGCCCCTTTGCCCTTGGAAATTAAAGGAGACTTGGAAAGAGTCCTTTCTTAGATGTGGTTTGGAGAGCGAGACTGGGGGGGCGGCGCTGCGGCTATCGGGTTCACGCACTTTAATATACACCCTTGGGGGCTGGCAAAGATTGAGCCTCCTCTTGCCATTAACCTGTATTCTGCTGGATTCCTTCAAAGGCTGTGCCGTTCAAGGGACAGCTCACTTTGTACTGAGCTCCTCAGACTGGCTCTCAAGGACCCTTTGAAACCCTAAAACCGGACCTGTGGTCCATGCCCCCAGATTTATAAAAGACATGTTAGTAAGTGGGGGCTCGGCAAAGTTCACGGGAGAAAAATGGAATCAAAGGGTAACGGAGGTTCCCACGAACTTTTAGAGGCTTACTCCTTAGAACACCCTGCTCAGAAAGACTGCCTGAGGAACAAAGGGAAATTTGCTGGGAAGAGGCTGGGCTTGCCAGGGGGCGGGGGCTCGATTTTTCCCTCCCCCTATGCCCAGGTGGGAGGCAGGGTAGAGGAGGCCTGAGCCAGCACCCTCACCTACCCTGTGTGTGTACCTTCCAAGGTCCCTGAACTTACCCTGGCGTGTCACTCTCAACAATAGGACTGACCCCGAGGAGGGAACCTTCAGGAATTCACCAGACAGAAAGAGAGGAAGGTGGACAAGGGGACTCATTGTCCCCAACAGCAAGAGCAGGGAACAACTTACCTGCCTTGCATGCCCAACAGTTGATGAAATAGGAAATGCATTTGGGATCTCCAAACAACAACAACAACAACAACAACAACATCATCCTGTGCATCTACTCCTTACTAGGTCAAAGCACAGTGGATTTTAAATACATTTATAACAAATTTGTATCATTGGCAGAACACTCTGCTTAGCATGATTCCATTCCAGGAAAAATAAACTATCTGTCTATATACCAACATCTTAACATGAGTCTTTGGTGGAATGGATGGTGAGGGACAATTTTGACTTCATGTGCCTTTGTAGCATAGAGGTTATGCATTGGGCCACTAACCAACCAGAAGGTCAGCTGTTCAAAACCACCAACTGCTCCTTGGGAGAAAGATGGATGGGACTTTGTCTGTAAAACGTTACAAGCTTAGAAACTCACAGGGGCAGTTCTAACCAGTCCTACAGGGTCACTATGAGTTGTCATTGACTTTTTTTCTGCAGCATTTTTTCTAAGCAGGAAACAAAATTTCACACCGCAGGCTGTTCTCTTAAATCGGCCATCACAAAAAGCAAGGTGCAAGTGAAATAGTTTGTAGGAAAAAAAATTCACTGTGACCAGAGAGAACTTTCCCAGGCGATGCCACTGGATGCACTAACTCAGAGTGAGTTGCTCAATGCTTCCTAGCAGAAACAATAAGGACTACGAAAGCTCAATTCCAGTTCTTTTCAGATACTCTCTAGTGAGTCTTGGAAATGTTAGTCTGAGTCCTCCAGTTCTGTGTGCATAGTGTTATGTCCAACCAGACTACCCAGGGACAGAATCATAGGGTACACGTGGCCCTCCTGACAAGAGCTGTGTCTGATGTGCCCACCTAGAGACTAGCATGACCCAGTTAGGGGTACAAACAACCACCACCACTCACTGCCATCGAGTCAATGCTGACTCACAGCAGCCCTTCAGGACAGGGCAGACTGCCCCTGTGGGCTTCCAAGACTGTAACTCTTTATGGGAATGGAAAGCTCATCCCTCCCTTGGAGCAGCAGATGGTTTCGAACTGCTGATTGCAGCCTAATGTGTTCAGGCAGTGGTTCTCAACCTTTCTAATGCTGCGACCCTTTAATACAGTTCCTCATATTGTGGCGACCCCCAACCAGCGTTCCTACTTCATCACTGTAATTTTGCTACTGTTATGAGTCATAATGTAAATATCTGATATGCAGGATGTATTTTCTTGTTACAAATTGAACATAAACATAATTAAAGCATAGTGACTAATCACAAAACAATAAGTAATTATATATTGTGAAAGATTTATGAGCTTTCCAATGGACTTTTCTAAGGGTCATTGGACCCCCAAAGGGGTTGTGACCCACAAGTTGAGAACTGCTGTGTTAGGGTTAGCATGATAATAAACCATAATTCTAACTCAGTGGATCTGCATAGTTTCCGAGATTGTAAATCTTTATGGAGACAGCCAGCCATGTCTTTCTTCCGTGGAGCGGTGGGTGGGTTTGAACCACCGACCTTGTGGTTTGCAGCCCAATATGTGTCCACAGTAAAAGAGACGTATCAATGACTCTAGATTTCTATGTAAAAATGGAGGGAAATTAACCCCACAAAAATTCTGCTACCTTCCATGTCAGTGACATTTCTAGGGGTACAGGGCCATTGGCTGTGTGGAGATATTCCTTCTAAAGTGAAGGGGATACTGTTACATCTGGCCCCTCTGACATCTGAAAAAGAAGCCATGATGCCTGCTGGGCCTATGGATGTAGAGGCAATGGATCTACATGGACACAATGGCCGCACCCCTGGGCTCAAACAGGACAATTGTGAGGATGGCGCAGGACCAGGCCGTGTCTCATTCTGGGTACATGAGGTGGCAGAACTGGCACCTCGCAAGAGCAACAACAAAGCCTTCGTTTGGGTGTGTCACAGACCCAAGTATCAAGTGAGCCGAGAAGCAGAAAGCTGGTAGCTGGAGTGAGGCCAGGACAAGAGAAGGTGTGGCCACAGAGCCACGCAAGCTGCTCTGCCACGTGGGCCATATGACCTGCTGGGGCTTACGGCAACCGCTGCAGATAGCCTTTGGTGATCACAGTGCAGACTCTTAGGATTTGAGAGCAAAGCTCTGTCATCCCTACTTTTGAGAATCAGCCTTTGGGGTTGTTCCTAGACCGTAGTAGAGACTAAGCGCTCGCCCCCCACGCCCACCCCTGCCCATCAAGCCGCTATGCAGTCTGAGCTGGGTGTTGTCTGACCGAGCCACATAGCTGGGTGTGCAGAGCAGCCCTCCATCAGGACGTGGAAGCGTAGACGAGGTCAGGCTCAAGGAGGATCTGGAGGCACAAGTAAATTAAGTGAGGAGGTGGCT